TTTACATATATTTTAATTTTTTTTATTTTTTTTTAAAGGTTACAAAAATATTTAAAAAATGTAAATAAATAGTTAAATTAAAACAATACATAAAGATTAAAAAAGAAAATTGGGCAGAGCTTGAAGGGACAGCTAGCTCCGCCCAGCTGTTTCCTATTGGCCGGCACCTGCTAGAGTCTTCTAGCAGGTCCCAGCCAATGAATAATAACTGGGTGGAGCCGGCTGTTATGTCACAGCCAGCTCCGCCCCGTTGTTATTGTTTATTGACAGTTCAGCATCCCCAGGTCATTTCGGGATGCTGATCTGTCATTACAACTGGGCAGAGCCAGCCATGATCCGCCCAGCTATCATTTGCGGGGCGAAAGGCCGGCCTTCTGCAGGCCGTTTGCCACGCTTCGGCTGTCACTTCGGCTCAGTGGAGCCGAAGCATATGCCTTCGGCCCGGCTGAGCCACTCGGCTGTTGTACGGGCTATAGTGAATAGCCCATACAGCAGCCCTTCGGTTCGACTGAACCGAAGGGCTCCGGCAGCCAAAGGATCAGCCGAAGCTACGGCTGGATCCTTTGGCTCTTCTGTAAATAACCCCCATAATGATGGAGTGAGCAGTGCTGATGTCACCACCGTTTACTGCAACTTTGAAGACTGTTCATTGCAAGGAGAAGATCTAACCCTACGCAACCCTGCCCCCTGTTGAGGACTCTAGTGGGGGAAATGGGGTGATAGGTGGTGGCGGAGGCGCGCCCAGAGCTAAATGGGCAAACTGACAGATTGCTTTTAAAGGGTCGATCTACCTAAAACTAATATTTTAGTGTTTGATTTTAGTGTTTGATAGATGCTTTGGTCAAATAAGGACACGAACAGCAATTAAAAGTTGAAAAGAGTTTCTGACCCTTCTACAGTTCAATAGAACTAAAACGATTTTGGATTGATTTGCTTTAAAATGAAGCAACACTAACAAATCAGACTTACACATTACTTCTACAATGCAGCCACAAGATGTCTCCCTTTAACCAGTTACACATTGCCTTTGTTCATCTGCACGGTCTAATACTGTTAACTGCAGTTGCAGTCCAGCCCCACATCATTGTATGTAACAGCAGAAAGTGGGAAAAGCAAGTGTTAACCTTAACTAAGTATCAAGTGTGCAAAAGTACTGTTATTATACACAAATGACATTTATTTCCTTAATAAATATAATTGTTTTTACCCTTTTTTCATCATTTGTTGCTTTTTAGTGCTGCTGATCTAATGCAGCTTCATTGCTACCAGTGCCGGATTCCCCACAAGGCCAACCGAGGCCCGGCCTCGGGGTGGCAGGGAGCAGAGGGGCGGTAGGGATTCCTATCGCCCGACGCCCGGGACATGAAGTTCCGGGCGCCGAGTGGGTAGTTGTATTCTACATTTACTTTGGGCAAGCAGAGCTAAATGTACAGCGGCGTTCGTTGTCGCCGAGATTACTTGTATGCGGCCTGCTCGTCCGTCCTCCCCCACCATAAAATAAAAATAAAAATGTAAAAATAAAAAATGATAAAGTAAAAAAAAAAAAAAAGAAAATGTAAACTAACCCTGCCACCCCCACCATCTGGTTGCCATTCTCCATTGGGAGGGGGTCACATAGAGACACTTGGCCTGGGGGCAGCATAGAGTAAATCCGGCCCTGATTGCTACCAGGTCTTGTCTACATGCACTCCAGTGATGACCTCATTGTATTTCTCAGATCGGTTTTCCTGATGGTGACAGCAGTGGACCATGTCTGCGCAATGTGTGCTGAAACGGACACTCGTAATCTCTATCAGACATAGTGACCATACAGCAGCACAATTAGGAGACAGGGACAGGGGAGTGTTGTCACCCCGTAGCACAAAGTGCCTGAACAGGAACCCTCATGGCAGGACCACCAGGGGTTATTTTAAGGGAGGCTGCAGATTAAAAAATATTGAAATGACTTTAGAATTTACATTAGTAATTGCTCATAAATTCGTTCAACTTTTTTTTTTCCCCTCATGTCTACAGGGACTCTGTTTTTGTGGATGTTTTGGCCGAGCTTCAATTCTGCCATCGCTACCAATGGAATAGAACAGGAAATGGCCATCATTAACACCTACTTCTCACTGGCCGCCTGTGTACTGACTGCCTATGCCTTCTCCAGCTTGGTGGAACACAAAGGAAAGTTTGACATGGTAAGAAAGGACAAAGTATGAGCCAGAGATGTCATCCTGGGAAAACAGGTCATAGGGTGCTAAGAACATGGCAAGCGCTGCGGAGAGAACCTGATGTGACTAAATTGAGGGGTGCCCTTTAATAACTAACTTAAAGGAGAACTATGAGATGAGTGATTTCCACTCACCTCATAGTTCTAGCCGACCTGTGACAATGAGACTGTCACAGGTCGGCTCAGTAGATCGGGAGGTGAGGGAACACATACCGGCGTTCGCTCACCTCTCAATCCTGTCACGGCTCTCTGCCGTGACAGGGAAGGGACTGGATTCCCCCCTCCCCGCTCCGATCCGCCAGCGCTGAGGCGGAACAGATGGGGGAGGGTACAGCTGGCTCTGCCTCTAGATAGGCAGAGCCAGCTGTCACTCACGCAGCTGGGCGGATCTCAACATCAATGCCGGGATCCACTCCGGCTGCAGCGTCTCAGTATATAGGGAGCTGTAGCTCGCGGTATACTGAGCTTAGGGTGACGGGAGGACGCTAGTTTGTGTCCTCCCGTTACCCTAAGGAGAACTATGGGGAAAAGCCCTGACCCCATAGTTCTCCTTTAAGATGCAAGCCTTAGGGATTCCTTAGATTACCTACTACAGGCTTTATACATTCCTGGAAATGGTTTGGAAACCCCCATACTTATACACAGAGTTACAAAGAGGAGCAATGACATATAAATATTTAACATTTTAATGTATAACTGGGACAAAAACAACCCCCTTTTGGTGAATAATGTACATTGTAAGGATTTTAACAAACTTTGTTGCAGATTTCCACCTATTTTTTATTCTGAAGAATAAACAGTTTGTTTCACCATGTCCTTTCCAGACTGATTACTGAATGGGAGGGTCAGCCTTCATTATAACCACCTGGTGTCATTTCAGTATACAGTTTCAATGTCTGCATTCCTTTAAAATGAGTTAACCCTTATGGATTATCTCACCAAAAATGTAATTTCTATTGCAGGGGATGCCTAAAATGTCATATGTATCTCAGTGCAGTCTTTTGAGAAAATCTGTGAGTCAATCACATAAGCAAGATAGCACATCTCTAGGGGGATTCCGTACACCGACAGTGTATAGAACGGCTCCAGGTTTTCTATATTGCCTTGAATTTTGTGAACTTAAAAAAAAAAAAATAAGGTGTTCTAATAACATTAAACTACCAAATGGCTTCAGTAGCAATTTTATCTTCTATAATAATTTTTTTTAACAAAAGTGCAGTTTCCCTTTGAATCCAAGTTCCAGCAAAATGCATTTTTTAAACTATTTTTCGCCAATAAAAACCAGGGAAATAAAAATAAATGTGTTCAAATCTGCTAACAAATTAAAGCCCTATCCACCCCCCCCCCCCAACTAAAAAAATGATGTATAATACATTAGGATAGACTACAAATCCTAAAAAATATAACATGAAGAAATGAAACATCATCGAAATGAGAACAATTATCTGGCACTGAAGGGCATTTAAGGAAAAAGGCTCTAGGGACTCTTTTTTTTCTTCCCATATGGGTGAAAGAAAGGAAATTAAATAGTTGTATTTCATTAATGGTTGTGTTTTATTAACGATTGTATATCATTATTACCGGAGTTATATTTAATTAAAGGAAAACTATGTGGTCAGGGCTTTTCCCCATAGTCCTCCTGAGGGTAACGGGAGGACACAAACTAGCGTCCTCCCGTCACCCAAATCTCAGTATACCGCAAGCTGTATACTGAGACGCCGCAGCCGGGACGGATCCCGACATTGCTGTCGAGATCCACCCAGCTGTGTGATTGACAGCTGGCTCTGCCTATCTTGAGGCAGAGCCAGCTGTACCCACCCCCTCCCCTGTCCGTTCTGCTAGCCAGCACTGGAGGATCGGACAGGGAGGGGGTGGGGAATCCCTGCAGGGAGCGGTGAGTGACAGTCACCGCTCTCTGCAGGGACAGGATTGAGAAGTGAGCGAATGTCGGTATGTGTTCGCTCACTTCCCGATCTACTGAGCCGACGTGTGAAAGTTTAATTGTCACAGGTCGGCTAGAACTATGAGGATGAGTGATTTTCACTCACCTCATAGTTCTCCTTTTAATAGTTATATTTCATTAAAGGCTAAGGCTGCTGTTTTCTCTTGAAAATTGTGCTGCGGTGCATTGCTCGGCCCACGCAGCCACGTCATCCATCCACAGGATGGAGGACCTACAAGTCCCATCTGCCATTGTGACAGCGGGGCTTGTATTTTCAAAGAAATACAAAGTCACTGTACTTGTAGTCCCTTAGCTCTGCCTCCCGTCCATGTTACTGCATGTCCTTAGCTCGGTATGGGCTTGGACGGGAGAAACTGTCTGCAGGAGCCAGAGCATTGCACCCATGATCTACTGATCGCAGTTGCAATGCTTTACTGCATTCCATGCAAAAAAATTAAGAATGCAGATTTTTTTCTGTTATTAAGAATGGTTGTGTTTCATTAGTGGTTGTGTTTCATTAGTGGTTGTGTTTCATTAGTGGTTGTGTTTCATTAGTGGTTGTGTTTCATTAGTGGTTGTGTTTCATTAGTGGTTGTGTTTCATTAGTGGTTGTGTTTCATTAGTGGTTGTGTTTCATTAGTGGTTGTGTTTCATTAGTGGTTGTGTTTCATTAGTGGTTGTGTTTCATTAGTGGTTGGGTTTCATTAATGGCTGTATATCATTAGTGGTTGTGTTTCATCTTTTTAATCGGCCATTCCGCTGCAGTCACTGTTCATGTATCCTGATGGGGCACGTATCTACGGTATTGAGTACCAGTATCAATATTTTGCTTTCGGTACTCGCCGATACCAAGTGTCGATGCCGGTGCTTCCCAGCCAATTAGCAAGGAGCCGGCTTTTCAGCTGATTGGCCGGGAAGCCGGCTTCCCAGCCAGTCAGCATGGAGCTGGCTGTTCGGCAAGCTCGATGCTAATAGGCCAGGAAGCCGACTTCCCAGCTAATCAGCATGGAGCCGGCTTCCTGGCCAATCAGGAAGCCAGGTGGCGGGTCATTACTCGCTGCTCAGCTTCCTAATTGCCTGGGAATCCGGCTCCATGTTCCCCTTTGGCACTGCCGGTCAGAGGAAACCTTCCTCTGACCGGAAATTCTGGTATGGGGGAAAGTAATTTGGTATCCAGGGAGCACCAGTTGCTAGCCTATGAGAATGTGCCAGCTGTGTATTTGTGACAAAAGGTTCCGGGATACTTGTTCTCAGAATGGGAAGTAAAGTTGCACAGGGCAGTCATGTGACAAAAGATGGCATACCCTATCTAGAAGGACACGTGACTTATTAAATCTTGGGGAATTCTGTATAATATATACATCAAGGCTGATTGACTGGGCTTTCTAACTCTAATGTCTTTGTATTGTTTTCTGGCCGGCATCGGCAATTCAGTGATCGATTTGACACATTGTTTGGATTTGTCCTTTAATATTCTATTGTCTCTTTGCTTAACGCAGGTCCACATCCAGAATGCCACCCTGGCCGGAGGTGTTGCTGTGGGTACCTGTGCTGATATGAATATTGGACCATTTGGGGCAATGATGATTGGTTTTATTGCAGGAATTATCTCCACGCTTGGATTCAAGTTCCTAATGGTAAAGTTATAGAGGACCTGAAAGTTCCCGACCACAAACCATGCAGGGAAATACAATTCCTCCTACCAGTCCTCTCTAAAAACTGTCAAGTGTAGCCTTTAAAGAAATCTATATTTACACATTTGTTTAATTCTTTCATTTGGCTTATTAATGATTTCACTGTAATTAAATCAGATATATGCTAAAATAGTTACATATAACCAAATTACCTTTTTACACAAAAATGCATTTACTTGTGTTTAATGAGTGGGACTTGCATCTGGTGAGGACTTGGAACCTTGGCTTAGGTAGTAAACACAACCAAGTGGCCCTCTCATGGTAAGAACAAAATTCTGTGGGGCTAAGGGTAGTATGCCATGGTGCCACAGTGTAGGGTTTCCACCTGTCCAGCATTCACCAGGAAGGTCCGGGTTTTGAGTCCTGTATGTGCTGTGTCCGGGGTTTCAGGCCAGCTGAAAGCCGGACACAAGATGTTACAGTGGCAGGTCACAGACAGGGGCAACCACAAAGTCCTGGTGTTCCAGCTTGTATGCAACCGCACAGTACGGGTGCAGACCTCTGCTATGACTGGGCTCTGACGGTTCTTACATTTCCAATCTCTCTCTTTCATTCGCTAGCTTACACAGCTTGTGCTCTCTCTCCTGGCTGTTTCTCCTCTCTCTCTCTCTCTCTCTCTCTCCTGGCTGTCTCTCATCTCTCTCTCCCCTGGCTGTCTCATCTCTTTCTCTTCTGGCTGTCTCTCATCTCTCTCTCTCCCCTGGCTGTCTCTCATCTCTCTCTCTCTCTCCCCTGGCTGTCTCTCATCTCTCTCTCCTGGCTGTCTCTCTCTCTCCTGGCTGTCTCTCATCTCTCTCTCTCTCTGCCTCCCTCTCTCCTGTCTCTCTCTCATCTTTCTCTCTCTCTTGTCTCTCTCTCTCCTCTCTCCTGGCTGTCTCTCTCTCTCATCTCTCTCTCCTGGCTGTCTCTCTCTCTCGCTCTCCTGGCTCTCTCTCTCTCCTGTCTGTCTCTCTCTCTCTCTCCTGGCTGTCTCTCATCTCTCTCTCTCTCTCTCCCCTGGCTGGCTCTCATCTCTCTCTCTCTCTCTCCCCTGGCTGGCTCTCATCTCTCTCTCTCTCTCCCCTGGCTGTCTTTCACTCTCTTTTCTGACTTTGGCTGCCCCCCCTCGCTCTCTCTCTGGCTGTCACTTACAGAAAAGGTGGCAACCCAACCACAGTGATTGGTAGGCATAGTAAGAGGAGGATGTTCCTAAAAGCACATGGTTTATTGTGATGCAGCATTAGCGCCCTTTGTGATTCTGGCCATTTGAGGTTGCAGGGCCTGCCCTTTTTTGCTCCCCCCTCATGCTGGAACACAAAAGGCAGCCTCTTTACCTACTTACCCATCGGCCTGGCCCTGATTCAATCACAAGATATCTCAAATCCGCAATGGAAGTCCATGCTGGAACATTTCCTTCTGCCAGGCACTGTATTTGGAGGTCTGGGAGCAGGTGTCTACTGACTGCAGGTCCTGCTCGGCTCGATGTCTGATTGGTCAGCTCACCACTCAGAACCACCAATTCAACATAGCGTAATAGTACTGATCCAGGGGGCCAAAATTCCCCTGCCCAGTCCTCCCTCCCTGTGAGTATCACATTCGAATGAGACCAAGTGAATCGTTTCTTTCCTAGGGAAAGTTTTTTTTTCCTGGTTTTAGGACTTCTATTCCTCTAACTAATTTTATCTCAGGTAAACAGAAGAACAACCAATTTATTTGTAAACTCCTCGTTACTTCTAGAATAGTGTTCCTCTTCCCATAACTTTGAGGGAACCCTCATCACTGCTGTCTCTCACCTACTTTCATATGTGGTTTGTGCCTTCGTCTGGCTTTTGGACTAATCAAGCTTTGTCTTTTAGCCAATTGTCGCTACCAAGCTGAGAATCCAAGACACTTGCGGTGTGCACAATTTACATGGCTTGCCAGGAATTCTGGGAGGTGTTGCTGGAGTGGTGGCCGTTGCACTGGGAGCCAAGGAAGGGTAAGTGACTCATTCACAATGTGTTTTATAAGAAAGAAGTTGCTTTTCTCTTTTTGACTCCAAGGATCTAATCCTCTTTGTATCCTAGTTACATATCCCCTTTTGTTCCCTTTTTAAAAAAAATTAGAGCAAGGAAGTTTTATTGAAGCTGAACTGTGGAAAGATATAAAATACCCAAATTTCAGCTCTCCATTTATTATTACATCATTACATGTCATTTTTTTAAAATTTGAGCAGTGTAAGTTCCCGAATTTAACCTTTTATTAGTCTGGTTCAATCTCCTACTCAGGCCATTTTAGACCTGGAGCAGCACAAGGGAACCATGCTCATGTGCTACCAAGGGGCATGCTGATAAGAGCAGAGAGATGAGCTTCACAGCCTGCAGTAGACATGTTCGCTGCCAAAAAATTTGTTTTGTTTGATTTTTTCGTTTTTCAGGATTCAGGTCCAAAAGTCAATTAATTTTGTTATTCGGAGGACCTAGAAATTTTCGTTAATTTGGGATGCGTTACATAATTACAAACACATTTTCGTTGCAGCAAAGTGACATTAGAAAAAAAAAGTGAAATTTGTCCACAGAAACAAACAAAAAAAAATTGTGGGGTCCCCCCTCCCAATCTATACCAAATGCTTTAGGTCTGATAGGAATCTTGCCGGGGACTCCAATGATTAAACAATAAACAAAAAAAGCGTGTGATCCCTCCTAAAATCCCTTACTAGACCCTTGGTCCAAGCAGCAGCCTTGCAGAGCCACAGGCCCTCATCATGGGGAGGGTGCTTTGCTGGGGGGGGCAGACCAATAGCATTTGGGAGCAGAGCTACTATCATTGACAGCTCTGCTCCCAAATGTCACGAAATGGGTGGAGCAAGTCATGTGACGTCACAACTCTCTTCGACATTCGGGTCAGAGCTATCATTTTGCAGCGAGAGTTCCGCAGGTTCGGTTGCGTCAGATATTTTATCTTTCGGCAAGTCGGTGGCTGTCGCTCACCGTGATTGACGTGGATCTACATCGCTGGACCATGTGATTGACCTGTATATTACATCGACGGACACTTTTTTTTTGAATAAAGGAATTGTCAAAAATGTTTGTTGGGTTTGATTTTTCAAATAAAAGACTCTTATATACATTGTGGTGTGTTTATTTCCAATTTACTGTTTCTATTTGGTGTATGATTACGAGTAATAACTACCCCTTACTGAAACACGAAGCGGGGGCCTCATCTCGGTGCCCTCTTTATGGAGGCGGGCACCCAGATTCAGATAACTGTGTAAAGATGTCACCAGCACACCAAAATCCTTTTTAGGATAAGCAAATGTTCATTTATTGAAGTTTCTTGTCATATAAACAACTAGTGCTTTCAGGGCCACACAAGGTCCCTTCATCAGGCTTTAGCATTGAGATCTGAAATGCTAAAGCCTGATGAAGGGACCCTGTGTGGCCCCGAAAGCGCTTGTTGTTTATATGGCAAGGAACTTCAATAAATGAACATTTGCTTATCCTAAAAAGGATTTTGGTGTGCTGGTGACATCTTTACACAATTGCTGATATTTGTGGCGCCATCCGCAGTCACTGCGAGCAACCCCCCACTACAAAGGATTTTTCGGTAAGGAGTGCAACAAGGAAAAGTATTTATCACCAGATTCAGATAAGCCCCCTGGCCAGGGTTGTGAGGAAGAGGCCCTTGTCCTCATTGACATGGGGACAAGGTCCATTTCCAGTGGGTACCTGGCTGGGTATGGTGCAGGAGTGGGGGGATTGCACACTCCTCCCTCCCTTTCCTGCTCTTCCAGGCTGCTGCTTGGATCAAGGTTCCGGTAAGGGATTTTTAGGGTGGAATCCATGCATATTTTTATTTTTTTGGCATTGGGTCCCCCCTAAAATTCCTTCCTGACCTACAGGGTACGGTAGGATTTCGGGAGGGGACTGCACACTTTTTTGTTTAGTTTAACAACATTAATTCAAAGAATGACATTTGGAAACAAAATTGACGCATCTGAAATGTACGTATTAATATCTGTATATGGTTTTCTGTAAACTCATCCGAAACTAATGAAAATTCGGATTTCGTCCGAATCCGAAACCCAAACGGAATTGAATTTCGGATCAAAATAACGAAATATCCGAACCGAAGAGAACCAAATATTTGTGCTGCTTACATGTCTAGTGGGGATGGCCAACCTCTGGGGAAATACTGAACAGAAAGAGGGCCCTGCATGTCATAGAGCAGATTCGGGCATTTCAAACTTTCTGAAAGTCTAGCACTCGCAGCCACCTCAAAGACACCACCGCCCCTACCAAGACAGTTAGGTGTCATTGCTCTCTGCATATATCGGTGGCCACAAGGAGTAATTAGAGGTGGAGATGAGGGTAGGGCTAATGACTTCTTTAAAAAAATCAACATATCTTCTCATTCTCACTACACTAGCTGCATTCCTTTCATTGATGGCTCTCAATAGGTGGATACTTTTACAAACACAGGCTTCCATCCACTGACACTAACGTACAGGAACCTGACATTCTGACTTTTACAAACTATCCATGAATTGCCAAATGATTGGCAACCCCACAAGCATCTGAGCGAGCTGCTGGTGATCTGTAATGCACTTTGTAAGCTTCTAGTACTTCTGGGATCTTCAAAATGTGTCCTTACATATATTACCATCCCTCACTGGCTAAGAATTAGTGATATTCCTGAACCTGGATCCACTCAGATATGATATCTTCTTTTTCCTGTTTTCTAGTTGCACTCCATTCATGCAAGGAGCTGCTTTAGCTGCAACTTTTGGCATCGCTGTGGTTGGAGGAGTTATTACAGGTTTGTAAATTCAATATTTTCTATCAAAAAAACAAAAACAAATGCAACACTAGGGGTACAGGTACTCCTAGAATGAGATCCTAATAGGTTGGACTTGATGGACTAATGTCTTTATTCAACCTCAAATACTATGTAACTATGTAACACTGGGTTTATGGGGCCAAAAATGTCCTTTTAGATAGAACTGAGAATCATCTTATTGATGTTTGGCTTGTCAGTTGAATTGATGTATTCAGTAAGGGAAGCTCTCCTGTCTTGGTTTTGTGCTAATATGTTAACAACTGGTAAATGTAATCAAAATCATACGTAAGTACTAGTAGGCTCCTCTAAAGATGAAAAGGACCATTTTTAGTTGTGGAATCTCTCTCACTGGGCCACTGACTATTTACAGAAGACCTGAAGTGTGGAAGCTGTTTAGGGCAAAGGACACGTCAAAGCAGAGACCAAAGAATACGTCACCAGTATTGACAATAGGGATCCCAACCTGAAATAAGTCATTTCAGGGAGGTGCCCTCTGTCAACCCCCTCCTCTCCACAGGGGGGGGGGGGAGATGCAACAACAAGGAAGAGAGCACCCCCTGAAATGATGGCAGATAGCAAAGAGGCTAATGCTTCCTTTGCTATCTGCAGGTTTTTTTAGTGTTCTGACAGCTGCTGCCGTCAGAAAAAAAAAAAGAAAACGGCATAGGAACTAATAGCTAGATTGCTATTGGTATTTTAATTTGCAATAGCCAATAACAGACTAGCTATTGCACTCGCCCTCTGCTGCTGTCAGTCAGCAGAGGTGGACCTGATGGATAACTAGTTATTGGCTATTGCAAATTGAAATAGCCAATAGAAATCTAGCTATTATTTCCTATGCCGTTTTTTTTTCTCTGACTGACGGCAGCCCCGATGTTAGGAAAAAAAAGACAGCATGGAAAGGGTTACTCTGATAGCAGAGTAAACCTTTCAGGGAGAAAATGTTTCTCTCTCGGGTGTCCGGGAGCCGCTAATAGCGGGAGACTCCCGAAACATCCGGGAGAGTTGGGATGTCTCCAAAAAATAGGCTTCCTGAAGAAGATCTGTTCACCATTACTGATGTACCATGCCTTGTTCTGCACTGTGTCTGGATGGGAAGGTGGCAATCTAGATACAGCCAGTGATTTGCTCTCTTATGTCAGACCCATCCCCTAATGACTGGTGATCTGATGAGTAAAGGGGTAATATTCAGGAACCAGCGGGAGAAGTAGAGGAAGCACAGATCCACAGAATGGATGAGGCAGGGAGATCCTAACACTGCAGGCCCTCAGGTAGAACTTACTCTCCAGGAAGAAGAACAATAAATAGAACAGTATCAATGTGTTGATAATTGGTTTGTTACTTCATTGCCTAGCTCTGTTCCAAGCTTTCACATGGTAAACATGACAAAGTAAGAAGGGCAGAACTATGTCATTATTAATAAATAAATAACTGATATAGGCTTCCTAATTGAACACATATCATTAAGAGATGCTTCTACAGCCCTCAAAGGGCATTGGCTTCCAGTTAATTTGTATACAAGGTAAAAGATTTAGTCCCATGCCCAGCCCCCAAAGTGGAAGGCCTGTGTAGACCATTTTGTATGAGAGATGCTTCCAGCATGGGTGGTTCTACTGATAGCTACTGATTCTAACTCTCGTGATCCTTAGACAATGCAAGCCCCACTGTTTTAAAGAAGGCTCATCATGAGAGGTATAGCCACTTATTTTTTGATGGTGTAATGTTGGTGATATGTGGACACCTTATGTTTGAAGGAGCTTCGACTGTGTACCTGAGCTGTGGAAGTTTTTCTCCATGACATAGCTTTCAATGACACTCTGTTGTCTGAGTTGTCCATAGGTTTCCCCTAATATAGGGGACATGACACATGTCTTCTGTGCAGTGATTTTATATTGGGAGACCACCATAAGTGGTGGTATAAGTAAAAAAGGTATTAAAAAGGCACAAACGTTTATGCCATATTGAACCTGTTATTAACATTCCAATGTTTTTCTAGGGTTTATACTGAAACTACCTTTCTGGGGACAGCCACCTGACCAGAGCTGCTATGATGACACAGTTTACTGGGAAGTAAGTATTGAGAGTTCATATAGAACGAAGATGCATGTCCAGATTGTGATCTGACACTTACAAGACCAATGCATCATAAAAATTGGCTAGAGACATTACAGAAGGGTGGAGTGAGCATACACGATTCAAGCATTTCATGATGTCTTCTGCACAAATTCTGCTCTAGTTGGAGGAATGTTCATGTTTCAGGCAGAAGAGAAGAGTGGGGAGATGCATGCTGACAGTTCTGTAGCTATCAATCATGGTTTGCAACCTCCCTGATCCCTTTGTTTACCAAGAATGCCTCTTAGAGCTGTTCTGCACTGCCCCACAGACAATGGATTGTCACTTAATCCACCTAAAAAGGCTAGATTGGGAGACTGTCATTTAATATCTAGCTGCATCTTATCACTTGGAAATCCTAGAACAATGCTATACTGAACACCATCCAGCAGTGGTGTAGTCTTGGTGCCGGGCGTGTGGTTGTTTTCTACATTTAGCCCTGCTTTGGGCAACTAGGGCTAAATGTAGAGAGGAGAAGCTGCTCGTTTGTTTACAAGTGATCTCGGAGATGTACCCAAGATCATTTGTAATAAAACTGCAGGTCCGTCCTCCCCACTGCCCCAGTCTCCGCTCTGCTCCATGTAAACAGTAAGAGGGAAGAGCTGCACTACAGCCTTCCCATCTCAGCTGTCACAGGAGAGCCAGCACAGTGCTGTGCAAGAACTCCTGTATTGGAAGTGACAGGTTCAAAAAGGAGAACCTGCCACCTCCAAAGGCTATCACACATGAGCTTGTTAGCACCTGTTTGATAGCAATAAAGTTAAGTGGGAATAAAAAAGAAAAGTAAAAAATAATAAATAATAATTAAAATAAAAAGTTGATCAAAAAGTAAATATAAGAAAAAAAATTTAGAAAAAAAAGTAGAAAATAATAAGCTATAACAATAAAAAGCAACAGATAAGATAAATAAAAATGTAAAAAAGTAAATAAATACAAATTAAAACAATAAAAAAAGTGATAAAAAGATTTATTTTAAAATAAAAAAAAATAAAAACTAACCCTACTGTCCCTGCCATCTGCTTGCCATTCTCCATTGGAGGAGGGTTGGCAGGGAGGGGGGCGCATTGAGGAACCTGGCCTTGGGGCAGCAGAGAGAGTAAATCCGGCCCTGATGCTTTGTCATCAAGGAGTGTCAATGTTTCTGAGCCTTGTAGGGCCATGTAAGATTTATTATGTCATAAAGGCTCTGGGATTTTGATACACAATGACAGTGATGTGAATACTTGTTCTTGAAACAAGTATGGTGTCCTGGAAAAGAATGCATCTGACTTGGTATAGATGATGCCATCCATTCTGTCACTACATAACCTGACATTTATCATAGGCTTATGTATGGTGTGTGACCAATAAATCTTCAGCAATGCCACATTGACAAACACGGTTCTAAAATGGAGCAGCACTGACATGTGGGGCTGCCACAACAATGCAACACTAACATTTCTAATCCCACTGCAATGCCGTGATGAAACTTTTTTGTCCGAAAGTAACACTTGCTGCCCCACAATAATAACAAAATGTTAGGATCTTGGCTCAGAAGTTAAAACAATTAGAATCAGTAACTTGTACAGTACATTTGGTCATTCATTATGAATCTCACTCTGTACAGATGTCTCTGGTGCGCCTTCAGTTTAATTTTTAACGTAGTAAGTAGGTCATATGTGTCTAGCGGTAGTTGTACAGTCAGCTGTGCCTGTTCTTTATAATGCTGCCTGTGACAAGTGCACTCTCAGTCTTGCTCTGCGCAGAGATTTTTCAGCTTGTGGGAAAACAATCGTATTTGGGGGTCATTAAACCCTGCAGTTAACTCTTTACACACACACAAACAGTAGCTGCCATCTATGTGTTTTAAAGCGGAACTCCAGGAATGTAAAAGTTAAACCTTGCAGTGGGGCTACCCCCCCATGCAAAGGTTACCTGCTTATTTTCTCCAGGGGCCAGCATTCAGAAGAGATACCTAATCGCCGGTCCTCTGCAGCGGCGAGTGCTCACCTCTCTCACTCTCCACTATGGCTGTGATATGTCTATCGGCGTCCTCATGTCTAATACAGTACAGGTAAGTGGACTGTATTAGACATGATGATGTCAACAGGGCTTAGACTAAAGGAGCCGGGGGGAGAGGCTGTGGGGACCGGTCTAGTAAGTATATCTTCTTTATTTGAACCCCTAGGGAAAAAAATTAGCAGTTAACCCTTGCAGTGCAAGGATAGCCCCTCCCCCCCCCCCCCCCCAAGGGTTAACTTTTCACATTCATTTTTAATGGAAATACACATCGTTCAGCATCATCAACTGTTGTAGCAATTCTCAACTTTAAGAAGCATATGTAACACTCACCGCCATGCACAGTTTATTATGAAAGCTTTCACAGAGGCAGGGGTTCTTTCATTTCTGGTTAGAACATATAAACATTCCACTTAATGGGTTATTAAACCCTCGCATGTTTTTGCATATATCTATGGCTAGGAAGCAGTAGATATATGCAAAACGATTAAAAAAACACCTTTTTCTAAGGGTTTAAACCAGGGGCGTAACTAGAAATCACAGGGCCCCATAGCAAAATTTTGTATGGGGCCCCCGTGATTGCTAGTTATGCCACTTGCAGAGTCCACCTGATATACCAAACAGCCCACCTGAGAGTGACCCTGCAGAGCCCACCATAGACTCTCTATAGTGGGCTCTGCAGGGTCGCAGATGGGCTGTACACCTCTTACCCGTCAGGGCTGTCCTCTTCCATCTCCGGGCCCCGCCTCCCCTTCTATCGACAGGCCTCCTCTTACATCACTGGCTCTTAGGTCGTCGGCCCGGGCCCCGCCTCCTCCTTCACTGCGAACGCAGGCCTCTTCTGCAGCAGCTGCTGGCTCTCACTGACACCGCTCCTCAACGGCTGTTCTTCTTCACAGCCGCTGCTGAGCTGAGTCAGTGACAGTCAAAACCCTGATATGCCATATTGACCCAGACGGTCCACACGGCATCAGAGGGATGCCCTGGCCGGGCCCCCCTGTGCCCGGGCCCCATAGCGGCCGCCTGGGTCGCAATGGCGATTGTTACGCCACTGGTTTAAACTCACCTGTGTCTCCGCCGCACGCTCCCGTCCGAACATCTGAAAATTTCTCGGGCAGCCGCAAAGGATTTTGGGGCATGCGCAGTTCAGATGTTTAGCCGGGAGATGAGGAGGGACACAAGGTAAGTCTATGGAGCAGCGTGCACCCGCACAGACACCTTGGGACATCAGAGAAGAGGAGGACAGAGGAGTCAGTGCTGGATCGGAGACCCGCACCAGCGCTGGAGGGACAGCTAAAAACTGAAGGAAAGAAGATGATCGGATTAAGAGGCATAATTTAAGGTAAGTCCTTACTTTAGCACTTTGGGCGGCGGGGGGGGGGGGGGGGATTTTGGCCTTAATGTAATTTTAATGAATTTTAAACATTGTTTTAATGAAAATATTTCCAGAATAAAAGTATTACCGGTTCCTGTGCAGAATCCAATGCACTTCAGAGTAAGTCCAAATCTGAAAGAGATAATGGCCCTCAGAATCAGAAATGACTCTTAGCATTCTGCAACGGGACCAGTAAGAAAAACTAGAGCTTCCAGCTGCCAATAGCAGCAGCTTTTCTGCTCCCTGAAGAGGGCATTTACCAAAACGACATAACCAGGGGGTCTAACGGGTGTGCTGTGGAGGTATTGAGGTGTTTCATTATGCTCCAGTGGTCACTCCCTCAATGCCAAATTTTTCTAACTATATAAATATTTTCAGATGACTATATTTTAGCCTGACAACCAAAATATGATTGCACCCAATGACATCATAATTTAATAGACATCAGCCATGATCTGCATCTGATACATATTCTCCTAAGAAGTATTGTATCCTATCTGCCTTCTGCATCTTGTAATATAGGCGTGTTTGATATCTGACTGATGTTTATTCTCTGATACATCCATGTTATTGTTTTTTATTAATGTGATTTCTTTTATAGCAGGATTTATAGATCCAGACTGCAGATGTGTATTGTGGAGTCACTTACTAGACAGGGCATTTTACGACCTGACTCCCAATAGAGGTCTTGGCTTAAAGGAGGTTTACGGCCACTATTAGCAGGCACTGGATTACCAGACGTGTTGCTAATGGAGTTAATGGGATTTATGATGGCCTGCTTTGTGTGGTTTCAATCTGATCTTATTTGGCCTGGTGAGCTGTGTTCTGGTGGGGGTTGTATGAGATGTGTCTCATGCCTCTGCCTCCTACACAAAATATCTAAATCTAATGTTTTTGTTGTTGTCTGCTAATAGAAATGAGGGTGGCACTGTGTTGCACAGGAATCCTCATTCTCCCTACAACATAGGTTGGTTCTAAGGAAAGCCAACTGTGACATTGACCCTTTAAAAAAGAACTCAGGGCACCCCTGCATTGCAAGGGTTAGCTGCTCATTTTGATATCGGAGCTGGAATAAAGAAGATATACTTACCTGATCCTCGGTCCCATGGAGGTGATAGCTCACCACTCTCCCTCTCTTCTCCATCTGTGGTATGCCCCTCAGTGTCCTCATGTCCAATAGAAGTCAATGGACCTGCATTAGATGTGATGATGTCAGTGGTCCTTACACTGCTGGAGCCAGGGGGGAGAAGAGGCTGTGGGGACAAGTCCAGGAGCCAGACGGGACTGGGAATTAGGTGAGTATATTTTTTTTATTTGCACCTCTGGGCCAAAATGAGCAGTTAACCCTTGCAGTGTGGGGGGTTAGCCCCACTGCAAGATTTAGTTTTTAAAATCATATAGTTCCTCTTTAACCCTTTCGCTGCCAAGACCTCTAGAACGCTTTACACCTCAGCTGGCCACAGCATTTCTGCAGTTTTTCCCATTGTTTTGACTTTCTACTACTGTGTTGCTAGCGTTTGTAAAAGACCCCCCAAACCATATATTTTCTGAAAGCGCAAAGCATGTAGAATAAAAAGATAGTTCTACTAATTTTGTAGGTCCTGCGATAATTGCGTAAATGTTTGCCACATCAATATTAAACTGATAAAAATACAATTAAATTGATAATTTCAGACTAAAATCAGTATCGGCGCACAGACAAGTTCTCGTTCATTCAGAAACTGTTCATAGTACCGTATTTGCCGGTGTATAGGACGAGTTTTTAGACTTAAAAACATCCCCCGAAGATCGGGGGTTGTCTTATACGCCGGGTATGGATGTGAGGTAATACTGTATGTACGGTAGCTTCGGCTACATACAGTATACTGCACTGAGCCGATCACGGCAGGCTTTGTATTAATGAATACAAAGCCTGAATTAATGAATACAAAGCCTGCCGTGATTGGCTCAGCGCGCTATACTGACGGAGGACACAGCGGGGATCGGGGACAAGGTAAGAGACTGTAATCCCGAGTGTGGCTCGGGGTTACCGCTTATGGCACTAAAAATAAAACCCGAGCCACACTCGGGAATACCGCCATGTGGGGTTAGTGGGTGCATTCAAACATTATTTTGGGCTATACTCGTCTTATACGACGAGTATAGCCCAAAACCTATGTTTTAACAGAAAAAGTAGTGGGTCGTCTTATACCCCGGCAAATACGGTAAAACATTTACTATCAACCAGTTTCTGAATGGGGAGAAGCCTCTGTACTTCTCCCCATTAAAAAACTAATGAATGAACAGGAAGTGCTGTTCATTCATAACTAGGGACACAATACTATGTGTTCCCAGTTATTTAAAAACATTGGTTCACCTGATCACTCTAGTGTTTGCTCTGCACAGAGGATCGGTAAATATCACTGCGGGGGATGGCGCCTGGATTTTTTGTTAATAGCTCTCATCAGCCGCTGATGACAGCTATTATTTTAAAGTGGACCGCTAAAGCGACCATGAGCTTATAGCAAAAGGGAAAAAGCCACCGACGTAAGGCTTACTGAGCCGGCCAGCTGGAAACAGTTGTGTTCCGCCGTAAGCCTTACGTCGGTGGCAGGGAAAGGGTTAAACAAGAGTGACCCTTTTCTTTCATTATAAAGTATTCCCTAATTCTCAGCCAACATAATATTATCACAATAACATATAATTATCTACATTATAAACAGTGATATCATGTTCAAATTCACACCGCTGCAAGTGATTTGCTTGCTCTTGGATGGAATAAAAGCAGTGTACTTGAACAGCCTGGAGCATTTAAAATGTGCTTAATGCACAAAGTGGCCAAACAGGTTTTGCAAAATAATTTCTGCAATGTGTAGTAGAAGACTTCTTCAAATTAAAGCAGTGGATGAAACAAAGTCTGCCTAGTAGGTAGGGTTGCCACCTGTCCCGGATTCACCCGGACAGTCCGGGTTTTGAATGCTGTGTACGGGTTTCATGGCAGCAGAAACCAGGACACAAGATGTCAGCCAGACAGGGGGCAACTAAAATTAAGATAGGGGCTACTGACCACCCACTAAAAATAGTCTCAATTGTGATATTTACATATGAATGGGCGGCACTATTTACATATGCATAAGTCATGACTCATTCTCCCAAAACAATGTCCGTGCGTTGCTGGAGTGTTCGGGTTTCGCTTGAAGAAAAGGTGGCAACCTTGTTCCCACCAGTCCTTCCAGAATGGCAGCTACAGGATGTTGGCTTTCACTCCAATTGGCTAAACACATCATTCCAGTGGTCAGAGGGAGGAGCTTTAGGCCCTCAGTTCTTTCCTCCTTGTCATCATCAATACACTGCTCTAGCTGCTAAATTGATCAACAACCAGGGGCGGGCAAACTCCGGCCCTCCAGCTGTGGTGAAACTCCAAACCCCATGATGCATCTGTATCTGGGAGTCATGTCTGTGGCTGTGAGAATATTGCAATGCCTCATAGGATCTGTAGTTCACACAACAGCTGGAGGGCCGGAGTTTGCCCACCCCTGAATGAAGCCATCAGAAGAGGAGGACAGTCCGCAGACACAGTTACCAGACATGGACTAAAAAGCACGAGCGGGCAACTCGTCTCATGGTTATGGTCTACATAAGAGATACATAGAAGAAAACTCACTGGTAAATCCCTGTGCTGTTTAACAAATGTCCAGACCTCCGGGTTGCCCACTATAGACACTTGTGAAGAGTTTAGTTGAGCATGAAGACAATTGCTGTGGTCAACAATACTCTGACCAATGAGCACGTGGTAGAAGAAGATGTCATGACACGACCATTGACCTGTTTTGTCTCCTTGTGACGTGTATGGTCATATAGTTATAGGGGAGTCTTAACAATCAAACCTTGACTGTCTATCCTTATTATATTACTTTATAATTCCTTCAATGTCAAAGATCAAACAATGCCAAGGTAGCTGCATACATATGGGACACTTAGAACATTAAACCTAAGACAAAAAAGTGACTTTAAGAACACTGTTATTGAAATAAATGCTATTAACTGGATAAAACGAGTCTCTCTTATTATCTTACTTTCTCTTTCAGGTTCCTTTAGAAGAAGAAGAACATGACATCCACTATCAAGGGGATCACGGGAAAATCAAAGTAGAGGCATAGAGGGGACAGATGGCCGGACAAACCTTTCCTTTGTGTCTTCTAAAGTCTTCTAGTCATTTAAACTACACAAAAAGTTGAATTTTGTCTACTTTACCCTAGACCCATGACTTGTAAGAAGGACATCACTAATTTAAAGGCCACTAAACCTATTTGAGATATCTGAGATACAGTTAAAGGCAACATCTAGTTTAAATGGAAATCTCCTATCCAATCTGACTCTTCTGTGTAGTCATCATTTTGCAGAGACCTCACAAACATAAGCAAGACTGTTGCTTATGTGGCATAAGCCAGGCCTTCTTAAGCTTTTTCCACTCGTGACCCCTTTTTGCCCGAGGAAATTTTAACGTGACCCCAGGTGTCTGACCCGTAACACCCCCCCCCCTCCCGAGTCGTCCGTTGTCTC